TTATATAGCGAAAGTGTCATTAGATTTTTCATTAGAACTTTCGTTTCCGAGATATTAAAAATCGGAAATCTGACGAGGCAAAACTTCGAGATAAAGCTAAGCGGTAGCGCAGTGCCAGTGCCGTATACTCACAAGTCATCACCCGACTTTTATAATATTATATACTTGGCGTCGCGCCGCTACCGCAGCGCTTGATTATGGCTGATATTTTTCTCGTGGATGGTTCGGCCAAGTAGTTCATTTACATGCTAGACGATCTGGAAAGAATGATGAAACAGAAGCAGCGTTGCAGGCCCATCACGGTTATTACCATAAAAACAGTTAGAAAATCGTGCTTTCTTATCAGTGTCCTCTATAGTACGTTTCTTTTTGATTTACTGAGCAAAAAGAAACTGAGCAAGCGAACTGACTAAATAATCTGATGCATTTGTAAGTTATAGAAATACTATATCTAATTGTAAGTCAGATATGTCTTTAATATTTACTTTTGTAGAATATTGTACCAACTTGATTCTGTGGAATTAATAAAGTATTGATCTTTGCTTAATAAAAATATCAAATCTTCAGCCATTTTTGAGCTACAAACAATCGTAGTTTGCATTTTATAATTATATTTTATGAATATAAATAAATTTTTAGAAGCCAATTAAATTATTAAAAAATTTATTATTAACTTAATTTTAAATGTATAACCTTAACAGAATTTTGAGACTGCAAGAGGATTTCGGAATTATGTAAATACATGGAGGTAAGAAATAACAAGAGGAAGCATATTCCCCCGCAGCCTGGCTAAGCAGACGTAAGAGGGGAATAATACAAAACGCCATATTACTATATGGCCGCAACCAATCACATTTGGTGTAGTAATCCCGAACTTCAATAAAGTATGTATAAAACGCCAATCAATCACATTCGGCATAGTAACTCCCACCAACAAAAAGGCCAACACTCCTTCCTGTTATTTTTTACCTCCATGTGTAAATAAACAAACTACGCTAAACACAAAAATCTTAACGTTATAAAGTCTATTCCTCGCAGTATTCCTAAGAACCAAGATTAATGAATAATGTGGCATCTAATGAGGCATATAACTATAATTTTATCAGTAATATAATGCCATGAATGTTATGCTTTGTCCATAACGAAAAAGTTAACAATTTTTTTTAGGGAGAAAAAATTCTCTTTATCTCTTTCATCACCGTAATGTTGTAATGAGTTTACATAGATCAAAGTTTAGAGAGCATAATCTAACAATAAGCATTACGTTCACGAACATATGTATCAATGTATATGAGATACACACATACTTTACTAAACGGCTATTTCTCTCGCAAAAACAGATATACATTTTTTATTGGCCTCAGAGAATTCCGACAATTCGATCTCGCTCCCTATGGAACAATTTTACGGTTGAATGGAGAAACAGTAAAGAGCAGATTTCTAAAGGTGTTGTATCGCTGTCGTAGTAGATTTTATTTTTCCATGGTTAAACGGTTTCGTTTATTTCCCATATGTGGCAAAGAAGTAAAATGTTATAAATTTTAATTTAGTAATAGATAGTTACATGCATCGACAAATATTTTAATTAACTTTATATGTTCTTTGTTTATTTACTCTGCAAGTCTTCATAAAATTTTAAATGTCTTGTGTAACATATAAAGTTAAATTAATATTCCTCAATGCATGTAATTATCCGTTATTGCATTAAAGATTTATGACATTTTACTTCTTTTTTAGATTCAAGTCGTCATGACGACGAGAAGTTTTGCCGTCTTCTTAGGTACACAGTTACAATAATTTATTTATCAAAGATAAACACACGGATGTTCGTGGTGCGTGGGTGTGTGACGTGTGTGTTTATTTATGAGTGACGCGACGAACCACTTTAACTCGATCACTTTGCTCCTAGTATGACGACGATAACCGGATATCGAGTATTAAATCGGAACCTGTCAATCGCTGAAAGGAGATAAATAAGCATCTTCGACAGGATGCGGTTCTTCATGGCGTCGTCAAGTCTGATCAAGATTTCCGGGTTGAATCTTCTGCTAGAATAAGAGTAGTCGGTCTATCATGTGGCGAATTTCTCTGTTCTTTTTACTCTTTACGAACGGAGCATTTGAGATAAAGCGACGAATCGATATTGATATGATATCTTCAACACTTTTGTACTCTACGATTATTATTGCGCGCAAGTATGACTCACGTGTAAGATTGAAGGATATAAAAAAAAATTGAACGAGTTCCAACAAAACTGCTTGATATAAAATAAACGTTGAAGCATATTGCAATTATTATTTAAGTAATAAAGTAACTATTATAAGTACATTAATTATGCAATTTAAAAAGAATAAAATTTGTTGATAAAAAAAAAGGACAAAATCGTACGTAACAAATCTTCAATACGGTGTAAATTGTGCCAATTGATCGTGCAATTTTCCAACGCATGATGAGTAAGAAATATTTTATGGTATGTAAACGTCATATGAATTTTAGCGGAAAATATGGGAAAGCGCCTGCGAGGAAAGCGGTGGCGAGATATTTTTAGTTTCGACGTCAATTGAATTTACGATATAAATCAAGCGGACGTTCGCACATTGTATGACGAGCGACCAGCTCGCTCGTATGTACGGTACAGGTACCATATGTAAAACAAAAGGATGGAGTCGACCAATTCGTGAAAAAGCTTCTGCCAACAGTAAATATAGAAGTGTTTAAATGAGATGAAACAGATAAAAGAAATTTGTCTCAAATAGCATTGAAAGATTCTACAACAAATGCTCTTCTCTAATCTAACATGAAATTATTATATCTACTGCTTTTATTCAATTAGCTTTTTTTTGCGTGATATATTCAAAATAAAAAACAAAATTAGAAACGTCAAAATTAGAAAAATATACATATGTATGTACAGTCATGGACACATCGGTTGCGACACTTTCTTTTTTATAGGTTTCAAAACGCACTAATATTTTGCCAATGCGGACCACGATTGGTGTTATACTGTCTCTAGACTAAAGATAGTAACATTGTGGTTCGCATTTGCAAAATATTAGTTATCTATAAACTATACATTATGTATATTAAATACATATTAGAAATATGTATTTAAGACCTATAAAAAAAAAGTGTCGCAACCGATGTGTCCACAGCTGTACACAGAAATATGTATATATTTATTTAACTTATTAAAAAAAATTTATATACATACATATATGTACACATCTATTTATATATTTAATGAACAAAACAATTGCTGCAATAATAACGATAGTAAAAAATTTCAACATACACATACGCGCACATCACAGATAAGGGAAAATTTGATAAAAATCTAGGAAGCATTTTATGTACGGATTACACGCGATTCTCGCAAAGAAGAACGTTGAAGACAATCACTTGGGGATATATTTTCCTCTCTGAACGTTAGTAATAGTTCACAATCGCAGCAGATCAACTGTGAAACTGAAGCCATTTTCTTACAAATGCCACAGTCGCTCTTTCGAAACTCTTTAAGAAAAACTACCGTCGTTTTTTCAATCGGAAGACTAACTTTGTAATGTGTTGCGACAATAACACGTAAATTGTTTGACTCTAATGCGATATGCAAATTGTTATAATCACGTTTCTCAAAAGTTTTAATTAGTATGGAAATGTCTTAGGTCATTGAAAGAGATTGTAAATTAAAGGGCTTGTATAAAATTTGTTTCTTGATTAACTGCAACTAATTTTACTTTAATAATTTATATTCACGCATGCGTGAGACGCATTTGTTGAAAATTTAATGACAAGAAACTAAAAAAATTTGCAACGAAAGTGTGACGTGTTATTTGATCTTACGATCTTATACGAACAAAAAAACACCGCCGTTAAATTTGTCAGAGAATCTGTATTTATCTGTGTTTATCTGTGTATCTAAATATATATTTTTTTAGGCTCACAATCAGTGTATTACATATCGCGTTTTACTATATATGTATACATATAGTGCTCCGCAAGCGACAACCGATTTCTCTTCGCATGCGATTCGACAGAGAAGATGGAACGCCGAAGATAATGCCTATCGACTTCTCCTCCTCACACACATATACACACATATATACACATCACCAATTTGAGAATATCTACACCGAGGATGCTTGAATATATGTATATGCGTTCGTAAGCCGCACACATGTTTTTCTCAAAGGTCAGTATAATGGCGTCGACTACCCTCCTTTTGTCTTTTATATAATACATACATCAGCTTATAAAAATACTCTGTAGAAGTGTTATAAGGTAACTTTTTCTTCGTTCACGAAGAACATTCGCGGCTAAAGGCGCAAATCGCGAGCGATCGATCGGGGACGCCTCTGCTCCCTTCTGTGTTCGGAGTAAAATAAGTGATGTGTCTGTTAGAACTTCAGAACAATACGATCTTAATTAGCTATTTTCACATTTTTTAAGAAATATATTTTTAAACTGTTAAATCTTCTTTTTTAACTTTGTAATTGGACGTTAATATTTTAAATATTTTAATATTCAAGTATCAGTATACAAATATCAATAAATGTGTGCTCCGATCTTTATATTCAAATAAACTCTTTTATCTTTCTTACATTGTTTTATCATGATGGATGATTTTTTTCCTTTATTATAATGTATAAAAATAGCGGCGTGCGAAGAGCTGCGCGTCGACTTTCTGTGCCAAAGACTCAGGTTCAAATCCACCCAGAACAATATAATTCTAATTCGGTTTTAATCGATCCCTACCTCTCGAAGGCAACGGTAAATCAGCGACAGTATCTCTGTCAAGAGAATCTCTTCTAAGGCCGTTCGGAACCGGCATTAAAATTGTAGGTCCCATATATGTATCTACGGATATATGAAAAAGAGAGTCAGCGCCTACACGCTGACAAGCGTATAATATGGCACGCGAAGAAGAAGAATGTATAAAGTATATGCTTTCGTAAACTTATTACTATATAACTATATTTATAAACCATTATATGTATGTATACAGTTAAATAATTTCGCGGCAATTTTATGACTATCTGGTATATTGTTATTTCTCTAAATATCAATGTATTTTGAATTATTGAATTATAATTCTATCTATTTCCCCTCTCCCTCTTTCTCTCTCTTTCTTTCTATCTCAAATATGTAATTATTAATTGTCTGTAAATGTAAAAAAAATGTAACAATAAATTGATTAATTATAGTGTATTAATATTATATGTATACTTATTATAAACGGCAATCTTTGTATATTTTTATGTTTACTTTTCGCTTTTATATAGCGGTCGTTTTGTGACAGTTGCACGATAGCAGCGAGATATATTGCAATTGCTTAATGCGAGAATCTCGTTAATCGATAATATATGAATCGTTGAACATATGACACGTTTGATTAGCAAATGCTTCTTTGCAAATAACGAAACTCAAATAACGCATTAATAACGTTTATCCTATTTAATAACACTTTTAAAGGCAAACATTACTGTGATATTGCTGTTTATAATAACCAAAAATAGAGCAGATCAATGAAAGTCAAAGCACTCCGTACAAAAGTAAATACGAATGCTTTATGTGTGTGCATATAAAATTTTCAATGGAAATGTTTTAGAACACTAAAAGTTTGTTACCCCCGTGTTCTATGAACCTCGCCATAAAGATTGCCATCTTTCGAGATAGCAGACAGGAAGCGATTAGCGCTTTGGGGATTCTAATTCGGTTATCACGTCTATTTTCCTAGGGCGAAAGAGTTATGCGTCAACAGTGTCTATACATTCCGATTCCAGGCTAATTAAAATACAACTGCTCCACATTTCGATCGTGTATATCATTATTAAAAGGTAACGTATGTTTAATATCGTACCTTCACGTATCCGCTTTAATTGGCGGTTAACTTGCATAACAAAAGGTCTGATATAGTCGAAGGTTTAATAGACATAGGTGCAGAGAACAGCGTATATCTCTACATGATCTCCCGTGATAAATAATTGCGGTGGAGTTCTCTCGTACGGCGATACCGAGAATGAATGCACAGCTCGGTTGCTTAATGTATTCCGGTTGACAGAAAAAGGGATCCGTTGCAGCGTTCTCGAGTTTTTGGAACGATCGCGCGAGACTTAATGACGCCGGTAGGCTTTTACAGGGACATTATAATGACTGTGGCTTGCTATAAAAACTGTGCTCCTTTATAGTGGCGTTTTTTTTATAGCATCTGCTTCATGTCCTGTTACATCATGATCACTCTTGTGTACATAATTTTATGTGTGAAGTATTAATAACATTAAATCTTTTTTTTTTACGTGGTCATATCAGAGAATGTGTTTTCTGAAATATGATGACATTTATATGTCTATTTTCTTTCTCAATTTTAATTGAATTGAAAATGTAATGCTTATATATAAACATTATAAATACGTAGATATGTTTTCTTATATGTTTCACATGTATAATGCCTATTGTGCTTTTTGTTACATTCTTACTATACTATAAGCAGAAGGAGAGAGGAAACTATTATGTTCGCGTACTTATTTCTCGAATACTGAATTCGCAAAATGTTGGAAGCCAGCTTTTTTAAAGCTCTTCCTGATGATCAAAATGAAGTTCTGCCGTTGCAAATATTGAAGGTTTCGAGAAAAGATGAGAAACGTTACTTCATCTTCTTTCTCTGTCCGGAAGGCTTAAAGAAAAAGACTATAATAATTTATGTTAAAGTACGGAAGAAAGAGTACGTTTCGTCGAGTGTATTGAAGTTACGTTTTTATTTATCATTGATTGCTTTAGTTTCACATTAAACCGCCATTCATTGTGCAAGACAAAAAAAAAGCAGAATGCACTTTTATCTCACGTTCGTTTAATTCGCGTGAGGGTTACGAGTGGCCGACTCGTTTCTTTTTCCGAGGCAAGTCAGGCGACGACCACCAATCGAGGCGTAAACTACGAGAGGTCAGGGTTGGTCAGCGAAGTAAACTCGTCATACCGAGGTGCGATATCGTGCCATCCGTTTAATAACGGCGGCGATCGGTTTTGTAACGCCTTCCCCATTCACCAGCGTGCGAGGGCACGTCATCGACGTCACGGTTGAACATTTTTCACGTGGGCGAAGTATACGCGGTCGAGGAAGTGAGCAAAAAGGGGGTGGGGGAGAAGGGAGGGAGGAAGGGGGTAAATCGCGCGCAGAAAAGGAGAACGGGCGATCGCGCCGTTTGAATCGCCGTTCATGTCCAGGTGCAAGCTCCCCTTCAACCGATCCGGTGGGGGGACGTTCCATCCCTGTTCGGGGGGAGCGCAAGCTCAGCCCTCCGATTGGTCTCTGTGCCCCGTGACGTCACCGCGCCGCTGGCGTTACGTATAACTTCAAGCACGCGGAGCTTTGGATTCAGTCAGTTGACTGGTATTCGCCATACCGAGCAGGTCTCACCTTGAGATATCGAGGATTGCCGAACTTGGAGACGGATTGTCAAGCTCCCCCGCCTGATCTCACTGTTACATCGCCGTGTCTTTAACGCCTCCGGTCTTCCTTCCGAAAGGTGAGTGGCTTTAATTTTTAACTTCGCTCACACACACTTTTTATCATTATAATTAATTTTTCTGAAAAAAATATGGCTTGTAGAATTAATCAGTTGTTAGCGTGTCTTCTTGTTTCTTTTCTAAATTTTATTCCATAAATTTTGATCCTCAATTTGTTGTCTAAAAAATTCATGAAGAAAGGTATAAAAATTGTACTTTCTATTATGGCAGACTAAATAATACACAATCGTATATGAAATTGATAAAATTTACATTTTTTAAACAGAAATGTACAAATAAAAAATATATTTTTATATTACAAAGTACGTGAAAAATGTTTAAATTGGCTCAGTTGTTAAATATATTATGTTACGAGAAATTAATTCTGCAAGTTGCAAAAGAAATAGTTTTGGTTTCCTTTACACAATTAATTTGAAAAATTACGGAGATAAAGATTTTCATTATTGAATAAATCACAATAGAGTGTATTTGTTAGCCTCTTTGTAAGATCAAGAGTCGAGTGAGCATCCGCGTAAAGTTGATGAGTTTAATATTAACTTTCTTCTAAGAACCTCTTAATTTAGCTACTTTTCGCAGATTACGGGTTTATGTGCGTCGTGTGTATCTTATAAATTTGGCTATTATACTAATGAACTTCACAAAATATATGATTATTAAAACAAAACTGCCTGAAAATCTTTTACGAAGAATTAATTATCTGCTGTAAATTGACCTTTCGACTTTCGAAGAAAGTCGAGAGGAAGAGAAATAATGAGATTAATAAAAAATAATACAAGGTACCTACGTAAGTTACATGCAAGTTATATATTGCATATAAAAATGTTTTAATCAGGGTACCCAGATAGCACAGAGGATTCGAAAACAATTCAGTCGTATGTTATCAATTTTGAGTTAATTTTTAGATGCAAAAGAAATTTTTTTTAAAAGTTTTGAAAAAGAATTCTTTTTACAGAAATTAATTCAAAATTGATAACATCTATACTAAATATACGAATAAATTTTTTTTGAACTCTGTTATCACCAGGTACTTTCTCTCTCTCTCTCTCTCTCTCTCTCTCTCTCTCTGAGCCTGAGGGGATTCCATCCCAGGGTGCTCTGAATAAATGTACGCTTTCTCTCTCTCTCTCTTTCTCTCTTTTTCTTTCTTTCTCTGTACTAATTTCTTGGAATAAATATATGTGTAAATAATTATATATTTTTTATAAGACTATAATTCTAGTCTTCCAGCATAATCTCTTTACAATATATAATGTTTCGATTTATCCAAGGCATTAATGAGAGAAATATTTAAGCTATCTATTGCACAGATCTCGTTTCAATTTTTATTTCAAATGTTTTATCATATTTCCTTTAGAATGATAAAAATATTGTGGCGTTTCTTTGACTGACAATGAGATAATAATTTGTATTGGCTTGGTATAGAAATGATTGATATTATTATAAGTTTTATTTGAGTTATGTCATTTGTGCAATGCAATGTGCAATATAATAAACTGCAAAACCTTTTGTTTTCAAGTTATACTATGTACGAACTCTTTGTTGTAACGCGATAAGAAATCTATTATCCCCTCAACTTAGCTTTGTGCAAATTTAACCCAACATCAGTCGCGTTTAGCCTGCAAGACAAGGGTCGACGGGCAAGCTCCGTGCCAATGTTCGATTATATCATAGAAGCAACAGGCTTCCGATGTAATACGTAGTTTATATGAGAGAAACAGATTACTTTTTATCATAAAACCGACTGAGAAGATTTCGTTTAATCTATATTCTTTTCATTTTTGTAATTTAATTTCAATTTATAATAACATATCATTAAATAACGTGCAAATAATGTTACTTTAGAAGTATTATATTATAGAACGAGAACACGCGTTACAATGTTTGAATACAGAGTTGAATAATATAAAAAAGCAATTGAATGCTATTTAATTGCTTTGTATTATTTTATATTGAAAAATATGTACATAATAAAAATGCAAAGCGCGTAAATTTTTTAATTATTTATTTTGGGGATTTTTAATACATGATGAAAAGTATAATAAATAATAATAATAATAATAGATAATAAAGATGAAAATAGTGGCTGAAAAGACAGAAAATGTTGATGCAGAAAACAGGAAATGATATTTCAATGCACAAGAAATCAAAAAACAAAGCATAAAGGCCAGATAAATAAAAATGTTTAATACATTATCTTGTGTATGTGTTGTATTTTTAACCAATAACTGTCCAAAGCAGCTGCATTCTTTTCTTTTATCTTTTCTTTCTTAAAATATTAGTAATAGGTAAATAATAATTTTTTTAAAGAGTACGTATTAAAAAATGTTGATAATTTAATATCATGCACATATTTTTATAATCAAAATACTGTTCAAAGATTTATCAACAAATAATAATTATTTATGAAAATAAAAAAAACACTAAAACAACTTTATTTATGTAAAACAAAATACAGATAATTTAAGAGCTAATGAGAATTCAGCGCGGTAAATGGAGCGCAGTTTGACGATGTATAAAACATACTTTAATTTACATTACTTGAATCAATCAGGTTCGAATCGTTATGGGTCAATTTCGAGAACCATCTTCAGCGATAACAATAAAAAAATATCTGTTGCTCTGCAACGCAAAGTTAAGCTACTTCAAAGTTTAAAAGATTGCATTGTTCATTCACACGTAGAAAGTAAAGTGAAAAGGTAAAGTAATTAGTCTATAATTTATTTACAGAATTTAGCACGCACAATACCTCAAATTTGCCTTCATGCCTTTAAAGGCGAGATTTTAATTTACTATTATCGCTGAAAATGACTCGAAATTGGATCAAAATATTCCAACTCGATTGATCCAAATAATGTATGTTAAAGTATGTTTCTATACTATCAAATTGTGCTCCATTTACTGCGCTGTACTTTCATTAGTTCCACTTGCATTGTGTATGTTTTACTTATAGAAAAAAAAGATAACTTGAGTAAATCTTACCCATGTATGCACAACACAATTAATAATTATTTTTAAAGACTAAAAAAGTAAGAATTTCTTTAAAGAGTATGCATTGAAAATGTAGGTGCTTTAGACAGTTATTGATTAAAAAAAAATAATACACGCACACACACGCACGCACAACAAGATAATGTATTAAACATTTTCATTTAATATCTGGCCTTTATTCCCTGTTTTCTGATTTCTTGTGCACTGACATACCATTTCCTGTTTTCTGCATCAACATTTTTTGTCTTTCCAGTCACTCATTCAGTAACATTTTAATACAAATACTGTTTTTCAATTATCGTAAGATGACTTTTGGATGACAAAAAGATATTAACAAAATATTTTGATATTGGTATTTTTTTAAGAGAATTGCATTTTTCATATTTCGCAATAAAAATATTCATTTTGTCGAAAGCACTTTTAAAACTAATCTCCAAGATTTGTTTTTTTTAGAAGTTTATATTTGCTTGCAACTTAATGAGTCACTGCGATTCATTTAAATTTTCTATGTTTTTTATTATATATAATATTTAATATTTGAAATATCTTTATGATAAACAACTTTACAAATCCAGTTTAAAGTTTCAAAAATTGTAAGATATTATTTTAAAAAATTGCTCATCCATCATCTATGTTTGCTACAATACGGATAATAAAATTTTTCAGCAGAACCGCGCGACTCCTTTATTTACACAGAAACAAAAGATAAAAATGCGTAAAAAAAGAAGCTGAATTGCGTGTCAGCCAATTCTACCTTCTATACAAAAGGCGCGAAAGGGGCTCTCGATCGAAAGCAATTTTGAGAAATGTCAGCCGGGATGGCGACTTCGTTCGGAGAATGGGTTACAATCTCGCGCCACAGAGACAGTCTTAATTCCCGATGCTTTACGACTGCGATACCTATTCCCGCGCGGCCGCTTCGAATGCGGCTTTACACCAACGCCCGATGAGGTATACTTCGCGCGTCATCGCTCCGCTATACCACGCTCGTTAGCGTGAGACGGAGTCATTCCGCTATATAATAAGTCGCTGCGCTCCAAGGGGACGAACATTGTATTTATTAGACTCTACGGGACACCCGGGGCGGCGTAAGCGCTGAAGTTTCTATCGAGTGAGAGCTCCCGGGATGTGTGGGGAGTAACTTTTAAATTCCATCTTGCTTGTCCACTCCGTGGATCTTTCTCGCGTTTTTTATCGGTCCGAAAATCGGAGCGAGTAAACTCCGCTCTCTCTCTCTCTCTCTCTCTCTCTCTCTCTCTCGCTGGTCTCGCGTATACGAGGCACGAGCCACGATATTTCCCCACGGTGAAAATTTTCACACGGTGAAGTCTCCTGTCTGGGAGTTATCGCGAGAAATCTTTCGGGCGACAGAACATTCGTTATTTCGATCGCGCCGACGAAGCGTTAAAATTCTTTGACGTTCGGTGTACTTTACGGAAGAAAAATGCCAGGGAGATAGTTTGCATGCTCTTTTTTTTTTGATCGTGATTATGTGTGAGTATGATTGATTTATTAAAATAATTTTTACCGCTGACGCTATTAAAGAGAACGCCAAGAGAAACGCAACATTCTATTTTTATATACTAAATAGATAAATAGATAAATTTAATATTTCTTTATATTTTATACTTTATATATCTGATAAAATTATTTAAAAAGACTGGCTGCGGTAATATTTTTCGCAATAAGTTCTCTACAGCTAGTATTTTAAGATGCTTATAAGCATCGAGTTGTTAAGAATTGAAGATCAATAACGATTTCAGCTTTAGCTAATGATTGCATTACAAGTCTGACATTAATTTGACGCGCAGTTTAAATGACTGAATAATGAATTTAAAATGTATATACTATTTATTAGGCATCAAAAGCCGTGATTCAGCCATGACTGTAGAAGGCGCTTTCAGATTTAGTTGTGTTTTCACATGTGCGGTCTAGTTCCAGCTATTATTATTTAAAAGGAAATAAATGATACATAATTATATAATATTATTTGTACTATATCTAATTATTC